AAAATGTAAGCATCCAACCTAAAATACATTTAATCCCTCCACGACCGCGGACACGCCGGCGTGTCAGTTAAAAATAGATTTCTTAGAAATTTTATTAATTTCTTAGAAATTTACCTGGAGGTGTTAATCATACTATGGACAGATATAAATATTTATTATATCTATGATGCACTTCATATCATTGAGACTTTATAACATTTATTACTGATAAGAAATTTATATATTTATATTCACGATAGATTAAAAAAAGAGCAAAAAAATGTCAGATATCTAAGTATTATTACACTCAAATTTTGACCAAAATATTGAGAAATAGTGTTGCAACTTGTAAGTCTATATAAAAACTTTTTTTTGAAAAGAAATTAAATTAATAGTATAACACTGTAGCACCAGGTTAAAGTTACCATATCGCAGCAATGTCATTGAAGTAACGGGATAGTAAGTTTCGAATGGATTAGATCTTTGGAACTTGCTCATATTCTTTTACCGTATAGAAGAGAGTTGATAGCCATCAAACGACTAAACGGTTTTCCTTGATTTATAGCTAAGAACACTCTCGATTTAGTCACCTTTCAAACAAAAGTAAAACTAAATTTAAAATCAGTTAATCCGTTTGGGCGCCACGATGCCACAGACAGACACACAGATACACACATTAAACTTATACACCCCTCTGTTGCGTCGGAGGTCAAAAAGTATTTTCCATGCAATTTCCATCTGTTATTTTTTTTCTTAATAGCCTAAAGCCTGAGCCTGTAGCCTTTGTGTACAATAAGTACTTATTATTGAGATGAGATTGTCCTGAAAAAAAAACTTTATTGAAAAACTGTCAAACTGACGGACTTCCGCATATATTATAGTAAAACTTGGTCAAATCTTTTTTTATGTTGATTATGTTTTTAATAATATTGAAATTACGAATTTTTTATTTGAAAGGTATTTGACAGGAACAGATTTGTGATTCGAGTTATTGTCGTCATAATAGCCATAAATATTTTTCCTGCTTTAATATTAAATTACGTTGACAATACATATATACATTCAAAATGATGTATTCATAAAAATATTATTTCGGCTGTTTCATTTATATGATATTCAAAATATTTCTAAAATTCATTAAGTGAAAAAGGTACTGGAAGTAAGTCTATTCGAAAGTTAAGGCAAATCTTCCGTAATTTCATGGGTATTAAATCTCTTATTTGGTTCATTAAAAATTGATTAATTAACAGCACAGCTTAAATATGCCCGCGGAGATCAAGCTTAGTATAGTTACTGAATATTATCTACTAAGATGTTCTAGCAGTCTGGAATAGAAAAGTTGAAAGTACCTCCTGCACCAGATCTATCACGGGTTATGAGAGTGAATATTAATGAAATAGATAGCATTTGTGTTTACACACAAAATTGTGCATTATAATGTCTTTATAATGGTGCGGTACAGTTGGGGTCACAGTTAATATTGGTCGTAACCAAAATTCATATTAGAGGACTTTTTATCATGGCTTTATCTACGTTTGTATTATCTGATAATTGATTTAATCTCCTAATTTTAAATATATACTTATAGCGTATACATTATTTTATAGTTTTCTCCGGACTCCGCCCCATTAAAGATAAGCCCACGCCCAGCTGTGGGACGTTACCAAAGGGCTGAATGATAATAATAAATTACTTTGAATAAAAGTTATCATTATTTGTTACTGAAAGCGTGTCTTTAAATCACTCGACTGATTAAAAAAACACTTAGCCATACCTTTCTAATGAGACTTTAACTAAAGTAACTCGGAAATACAATAAAAGGATTACACAATTACAAAGTTCTGTGAGAAGCAAGTAGTTGTAGTATTTATATAACCCCAAGTAATTAAAACCAGACTTTGTCACTCATACTAGAGTAAGAAACAACTTGAGAACATGCTACACTTGAGGCAACTTACGCCCCTATTCAAAGTATTCAAACTTCGGATTAAGATTGTTTATGTTTTGTTACTATAATTACGTATAAAGGCATAATAATTATATTATAACAAAATGAAACTTAATATGTATTATATGGAACGTCATGTAAGGCGGCTATATAATAAAAAAACACAATTTCGCTAATTGTAGGACTAAATAAAGCGAAATGCTAATTGCACGTATCTGGTTCATAAAAATAATTCTGAAAAACATTTTTTAAAACAAGCTTTTATTTAAATGCTCTAAAAAGAAGAAAATAAACTTTAAATTAAATCAAACCCATAAATTTGTTACATTACACAATTTATATGATATAGAGATAAAAAACTTATTTTTTTTTAACATTTGATTTATTGTTTATGTACACAGAATGACGTCAATTAGCTAACCATGCATTGTCATCTAAAATTAAAGTTTATGCTAAATTACAGCCCAATCAGTCTAGAGATAACTGCTTTAAAATTCAGTTGCAAGATTTGACCCGAACAAATATATATATATATATACAAACATTATACAAACATTACCAGTTAAATAAAATCGTATAAAATAATAGATTTTTATGTCACTTGAACATTTCACTAAGAAGTCATCAATTTAAATCTTACACTTTCAATTCCTTGACTGTCATTGGTCGATGAGACGATAAGCCGTCAGGACTGAGAAAAGATAATTTCCGACTGACTGAATATTTTTACAGAATTTCTCAATAACTTCGTCTTCGAATCTATTAATAAAATACATGACGCTTACATCATGTCTGAAAGCCGCTTTAGATTTAATTAAATTAAATATTTATATAGGTATACACATTATGTCGACTACAATGTTAACATAAGTTTTTACTTGTATTGTATTCAGCCCTTTTTAACGTCCCACTGCTGGGCACGGGCCTCCCTTCCGTACGAGGGGGATCAGACCATAGTCTTCTGAAAACTAGCTAGGTTCTCTCAGACATGCAGGTTTCCTCACGATGTTTTCCTTCACCGTTAAGACAAGTGGCGATCATGTTGGAAATGATTCCCGGATGGGATGGGAGGGATTTGAACCCGCTTCACTCGGTTTCCCAAGGGAGTGCGTTACCACTGAGCTATGACTGCCTATTTTATTAGTATTGTATTCATTGAATTAAAATTCTCTAATCCTTAGTAATTTGTCTAAAGTGTTGGATGTTAGCCACTTGTTACTTATTATTATTTGAAGGGGCTTTAGAGTTGTTAATGTTTTCATCAGCTTAACTTAAGCACGTTAATTGGTTTCTTGCTCTTGAATTACAAGTAAATGTAATGAAAGTGAATTATATGAAAGGTTTTATAATTGCCTGACCTCCGCAAACAGAGAAAAATATTTTTCTTTTCGCACATTAAAGTATAAAGAGCTATTTGAATTAAAAAGTTTGTTTTATGTTTATATATCATCATCCTATTCGTGTAGGACCATCACTTTTAAATAATAAAAAAAAATTATAAAAATTATTTAAAAAAAGAACCCCCAACTGCGTAAAAAGCGAACTAAAAAGATGAAACCAAGTTGACTTTATTTTCTTATTTACAGCTTTATAGTTTTGATCAATTAGATATTTTTAGTAGCAAAAAAAATTTTCAAGACACAAATTGGTACCTAAGGTTGCATCTTCATTTTGATTTTAATGATACATCTATAGCATATCACACTCACGTTATCAAGACGGATCTAACGATGTACGAATCTTCAAAATCGATTACATATAGGCAAAACACATAGCCCTCCTCTGGGCTTTGCCGCAGTAGGGTAAAAAAAGAATCGCTGAAATCAGCTCTGAGATCTCCGTGTGTATAAGAAAACATAAAACTAACCAACGTCCAATGTGTTAAGATCAGTTCTAAAAGAAAATTGGCCTTTGTCAATTAAAAAAAAAACAGTATATTTGATTGATATTCATAGAAATAAATAAAATTGAATTGTCTGGTTGTAATGTCAAAATAACAACTTTTTACTAAATGCATATGAAAGTATAGATACGGCACTTATAAAAAAAATCAATTTTTATAATTTTAGTTTGTCTATCTGTCTGTCCATCCATCCGTACATCTGTCCGTCTGTCTGTCCGAAACGGGTCCAATTTTGACAGGACTTTCCTTGACGGATAACTTATGTTATAAGGCACTCCTTAAGTTACGACTTTGGCTACTTTTGTTTTAGAAAAAGAATTAGGGTTCCGTGCAAAAAAACCATGATTTAGTGAACAAAATCCACGTACCTAAGAACGCAACCGAGCGAAGCATGGATAAGTCTTTAGTAAAAATAATTAAGGCAATAAAATAATCAATTTTTAATATGATAGAGATATTGTAGAGTGAATTATTAGTTCATATTTCTATACATGGACTTGTGATCCATAGGTAATTTGAAATCTATATCTTTGATATAAATTCCATATTACTCATATGTAGTCACAAAATGTTATTATAAATGTTATTGGATCGCTTTGAAGCTAAAATAAGTCAATCTAGTTCTGGGAAAAACTACTGAATTGGACAGTGATTGGAATTGGAAATTGTCATAATAACTTCGTATGGACAATTAATAAAATGATATTTTAATTTAATAATATACTTTTGAAGTTATACTTCTTTTGGCACTTTTGGAAAAAAATATGAGAGTAAAATTTTTACGATGCGCGCGCACACCGACAGCCAAAAGGTGACATGATGAAGTTAGCCGCCTTCCTTTTACAAACAGAGAGTTGTGACATACGGGATGAAATCTTTACTTAGTAGTACTACTAAAATCTTCGTTTTCATATATAGAATCAATTTTTCATATTAACTTTGAGATATTATAAGAAGTTAAATTAAAGGGATATAAACGCAATAGAAGTTTGTATGAAAATCTGTTATTTTTAAAATACGCGGAGAGAACCGCCGACAAACGCTAATCATTAAATATTTAAATATATATAACTTTAACTAAACATAGTATATTTATTTACAACTTATCTATATTACAAAATTCATTTTAGTAATTTATACTAATTCATGGAATATTTGTTTCAGGTCAATATGGATAACTTTACTCTGTACAATGAGAGTTCTCTACTCTTATTAAGCGAAGCTACGTCAAGTGTCACGACTGTTACAATCAGAAACGCTTCGATTTTCAGTAATGCGTACGAGTGGCGATTCATCTTACCACCTTATTTCCTTATATTTTTACTCTCGATATTTGGAAATTGCCTCGTCATAGCAACATTGGCAAGTAATAGGAGGATGAGGACCGTCACGAATGTATATTTACTGAATTTGGTAAGTTGATATATGGAATGTTTATACAATACTAGCAACTCACCCTCGCTTCGGTCGGGTTCCTCTCTAGCTTGCTTCCTAATACAAACTTTCATCCCCATTTTCACCCCCTTAAGGGATGATTTCCGGGATAAAAAATAACCCATGCCCTTTCCAAGCTCTCAAATTATCTTCTTATCAAATTTCATCTAAATCGGTTCAGTAGATCCAGAGATTACCCCATTAGATTAGATTACAACCTCACAAACTCACGAACTTTACCTCTTTATAATATTAGTATAGATATTAAATACCTCTGATTCGGTTATCGTAATATATAAGAATAAAGAGACAAAGATAAAACAGTTCCGCACCTTTTTCTCCTCTGTTTGTTAACCGATTTTCTTTTTTCTTTTGTTTAGTAGCTTTGGACGAGCTTTAATACTATCAATAAAAAAATCATTATGGTAGAGTTACGGGCAATGGTCGAACACTAGTTCATATTAATAACTGATTATTTTATATTTTTTTTATTTAACGAGGAGGAAATCTTCTAAAGATATCCAACCAACGTACGAGATGGTTAGGATATGTAGGATTTTTACCTTCTAAAATCCCCTCGGTTACCATCTACTGCGTATAAAGGAAAGCACCGGGATCTCTTTAAGAACGCACCGGTAAATTCGATTATCTTAATATAACTTTTGATTAAACATGTTCTTATTTATATACAATTATTTAAATAAATCATGTACGAGATTACAACTTGAAATTAAAAGGTAACAGTTATGTTGTTGTATATTTTCATTTTTCAATTTTTAAAAAATGCATATAATATCCAAAATATTGTAAACATTTGTGAAATAATTATCGTTTATTTTTAAAAACGATTGAGTATTTTAAATTTGATTAACATCTGACCAAAGATGAACGTGAGACTAAAGTAAATTAAGGTTTAAATTTTGTATAGATTTATATATTTTTATATGTATATCCCAACAACCCTGTTCATTTCAACCTATCTGTTTAAAACGTCAATCGACGTAATAAATACAAGTCCAATTTCAGTACTCAATTTTATTAAGATCAATCGAGGGATTCAACCGTAAAAATAAGAACCATCCAGATACACAATAATAATTTGTATTTATAATATTAGACTAAAAGGCTAAATTAAACTTAGATTTCAAATCGTTTGAGTAAATTTATAATAATACTAGCGATTTAAGCTTGGATGGTTTTGGAACGCATAAAAGATAAAAAATCAAAGAAAAAAAATAAAAAATGAGCGATCTATGGACAACAACAACAGTATCCTATATGATGATCCGAATAATCAGTTATCACCGAACCGAAATTCATCAACTTCAGTTTTTCAGGTTATGTGTCAGAAACAGACAAAATTTTTAATAATTGTAGATTTGGCCTCTGTATCGATAATAATAGCAATTTCAATTAGAATTTTCAAAAAATATTTCACGTACAGATTCAACTCAGTTAGAATTTCTTTTTATTATTTATACAAATAAATAAAGTAGAAGTATCTGTAATGTCAAACTAACAGCTTTTAAAAAAAATTTCATGTGTTTGTTTTTTCCGGCTAATCTCCGAAACGGCTGGACCGATTTTGACGAGACTTTCACTGGCAGATAGCTGATGTTATAAGGAGTATTTTTATTTAAAATAAGAATCAGGTTCTGCTTAAACAAAATACAAGCTATTTTCATAATTGTAATCAAAACCTGCGTACCTAGGGACGCATACACATATATTCGTCGTTTAAAAAGATTCAATAGAAGTATTTAATTTAATCTACTAAAGGCCCAAAGTGAGACTTCTCATTGAGATTAATAAACTTAATTTGTTTGAAACATGAGCAAAAGACTGATTAAGAATGTTATTAACAGTCTGAAGCGCTCCTTTGTTTAGCTCGGCTTAATTTTTTCCTGAAACGGATATAGCTTGTGCTGGAGACTAATCTAGTTTACTTTTTATATAATAATATAGTCTAAAGAAAGCAGGAAATTTCCTAAAAAAAGTCTTGACTCCCGAAACTCAAACCTTATAATTAATAATTTTAATCCGCCGTTGAAAATGGGGTTCCGCGCGGGCGTTTAGGCTCGAGCTAAGCTCGTCACCGCTAGAGAAAGAGTATAAGTTATTTTTTTTAGTATAAGATATTAATTTACAAATTAAAAAAATATATATTGTGCAATCATGCTGTAATCTAAATAATTATGCTAAAAATAAAAAAATCTAAAGTAAACATTACAAAAAATTAAGAAAGGTGAAAAATTATAATTAGTTACTAATAAAAAAATAACTTTTTATTTTCATTAAGTACTTATATAAGAAGGCCTCCAAACAGTATTAAATTTTTAGCACAATTATTTAAACTTTTATGTTGATATTTATATATACAGAGCAATGGGGAAAAATTATTAATTAACAATGTGATAACTTTTTGAAAAATCGATGAAAAAATTCTTTTCCACGAAACTTGACTCAATATAGTATCCAGCCCAATTTATTATTGTTACACTTTTTATTATTATTTTTTGTTATACATTTTATACCGATAATGATGATGATTAAGTGGTGATATGTAGAAAATAATAATTAATAATTAGATACTAATTGCAAACGAAATCGCTTACTAGCATTGCAAATTTACCTAACGTTTTTTTTTCTTTGCATTTTAGCTCATAATAAGAAATATAAATGTTCGATATTCGACTAAAATAATTATTGAAAGTTTGAGGAAAACAATTATTGGACATATTAATAATGTTTTAATCATATAATATAGTAAAAATAGGCAGTGATATCCCAGTGGTAACGTACTCGCTTGGGAAACCGAGCGAAGCGGGTTCAAATCCCGGGTTTTGCACCTCTGATATTTTCATGCGCGAATCATTTCTAACATGATTACCACTTGCGTTACGATACGGTGAAAAAAAACATCGTGAGGAAACCTGCATGTCTGAGAGAACCTAGCAAGTTTTCGAAAGACATGTGAAGTCCGCCAACCCGCACTTGGCCAGCGTGGTGGACTATGGCCTGATCCCCCTCGTATTAAATGGAGGTCCGTGCCCAGCAGTGGGATGTTAAAAAGGACTGAATACATGATATAAAATATATATTGTACGGAAACAAACATTCATATATAATATAATTATGGTTAGATGTAAGCTAAGATTTACTTTTCTTTGCAGGCTATATCAGATTTTCTTCTGGGCGTATTTTGCCTACCCTTTACACTGCTAGGGCAAATGTATAGAAGATTCTTCTTTGGCGCCACGCTTTGCAAATTAATACCGTTCGTACAAGGTAAGTTTGCTTTAAAATTAGATATTAGTTTACGTATTTACAACATATTTAAAATACATTTTGGGTGTATTGATAATTTTATATGCTTTTAATATGAGACAATTCTTATTCAAACTAATAATAGTGCAAATATATAGAAAAAATATGATTAAAATAACCTTTTAAATTTTCGCTATAAAATGCATTATTTCAATTTAAAAAAATATAACCTATATTTTATACCTATGATTTATTTATAAGGACTTATTAAAAAAATATTTTTAATTAGTGTGATACAGTTAATAAAATCCCATCAAAAACATACTGTAAAAATATTGCAAGTCTCGCAACGCATCTCTCTACCGCAAAAAGCTATGAGATATAATGTAAAACCAAGTCAGTTAATTTATTCATTACCTATCTATGGAAGCATCTATCCGACAACTTTGTCATAAATCGTTACCGAATTAGTTAAGTTACAACATTTTATAGTGACCATATTAATATTAGATATATTTATTTCTTTAATTAATAGAGTGACTTGGCCATCGCACGGAAACATAATCACATAAGAGTCGACTACTTTAAATAGTCCTAATTAAAAATACCATGACCAAGGTGGACGGACGACTTGGTCAAAGTTGCTGGAGCCCACTGGATGCGGATGGCACAAGACTGGTTGTCGTGGAATTTTTGGGGGAGGCCTATGCCCAGCTGTGGACGTGTTTGGGCTGAAATGAATGGAACATAGTACTAGCGGGTCAAATTGATGCATACACTAACAATACATAAATAATGCACTCAGAACGTTAATATTAGGTAAATTTTGTTATTTGTAGGTTCTGTTATCATGTGCGATGGCCAAGTCATTCTATTAATTAAAGAAATAAATATATCTAATATTAATACGGTCACTATAAAATGTTGTAACTTAACTAATTCGGTAACGATTTATGACAAAGTTGTCGGATAGATGCTTCCATAGATAGGTAATGAATAAATTAACTGACTTGGTTTTACATTATATCTCATAGCTTTTTGCGGTAGAGAGATGCGTTGCGAGACTTGCAATATTTTTACAGTATGTTTTTGATGGGATCTCATTTCTTTTTGTAAATATTTCTTCTTTTTCCCTTTTCTTGTACTATTTCTTGTGTGTCAGCTAAGGACTTCTTAAAAGACCACTCCCTGTCTCTGTGGGCTTTTTTTCAGAGGCTTCGATATAACAAATTTTGACAAGTCTGGATGATAAAAAATCTAAGTCTATTGTATTCGGAAATTGCGGATTCCTGGGCTTCATTACTACTATCTTATGCATTAAGTATAAATATGTATAGTTAATTTAATGAATATTTTAATTTCATTGTTGACCCTAAATACCTACCCCGATACTGATATTGAACTTACGTAAGTTTAATAAAACGTGTAGATTTATGTGTCTATCTGCGGCATCGTAGGTAAATCCCAAAGGTTGTTATACTTAATTATTATTGCTTGTTCAGTCAATTTTGATGCAGTTTAATAGAAAAGTGAGGTTGCCAACTCACTTCATTCACTGATTCCATTTGCCATTTTAAAAGTAATTTTCGAAGAGATTGATATTTAATGACCTCTATATTCCATGTTCTATTAGGTGTGTACAGTTACGAGCAATGAAATTTTAACAAGTTTTCTAATTCAAATCAACATCATACTTTATAAAAGAAAATATACGAGCTTTGTTTCAAAATATGTTGGGACAGTAACACACAGAACCATCTAGTTCCATGGTAAGCTACGAGGCTTGTGTTATGGATACTAGATAGTTGATACACTACATATATATAACTTTAAATACATACATATTATAAATATAAACGCCCATGACTGGAGTACAAACTTTAGTCATCACACAAATGAATGCCCCCAGCGGGACTCGAACCCGCGACCGCCGGCACAGAAAGTAGGGCCGGGCCACTACAAACTGAGCCAAACGTGTCGTCAAAAATTAAGTAATCGTCAAGTTTTGTCGTAATTAGGTATATATTTTAATAAATTCATTATAAATAACAGGTAATCGAATATTAGTTGGTAATACACTATACACGCTTCACGTTGTATTTATGTACCCATTTGTATATGCATAAAAATGTATACAGCTACTGAAAACGCTTGAAATAATATTTTCACATTTGAATAATATTTTTCTAATGTATACAATAGTTGCAATATCAACATTAATAAATAAATAGACGAATCGTGATTAGGTTAGTAATTACGAGGGAACATAGGATCGAACATACAAACATACATACAGGTTAAACACTAACCTAACCTCCTTTTACATTGCAAGTGACGACAATTATATGTATGAACTGCACAAGTAACTTTGTAATCCCATATATCGCATATCTATTTGTATAGGATTACAAAGTTACTGATGCAGTTTGTTGTATATCTCGAAAACAGGATTGAAATTGCGTGATGTTTGAATTTTTCCTTGGGTTATAGAGTAAACACGAATTGTGTTCAAAATTTGAAGCTTCTATGTCTGCTAGAAGTACCTTAGAATTTTGATGATCGGTGAGTGAGTGAGTGACGATATTACCGATTTTTGATCTGCAACAGTTCATAAACTACTGGTTCAAATTGAATGTAATTTGGAAATGTACCTAGTTTTATTATGTTCTCTTAGTCACTCAAAATTCAAGCTTCTAGCTTTATCCATAACGAAGTTATGGGGGGGTGGAAAATGCTCTGAATCCCTTCGAGAAAAGGATGGTACTGCCGTGCCCTTTTTTGCTCGACTTGTTTGCTTGACTTGGCGGGGGCACTACCGTGCCCCCCGATTATAATTATAAAGAAGCACTCAAACGATGAAGGACTCAAATGTACGGTGGCCTTGTGTCAATTACTATCTTAATAAGAATTATTTCTACTCTTTACTGGATTTGATCGTTTTAAGCAAATTAAAAAGCTATTTTTGACATTTCAAATAAAACTATAGTTTTGGATTTTTCTTGGGTTTATTTTAATTTTGGGTTCTTGACGTTTCGAATGCTATACAGCGATCATGGACACGGGAGAGACTGAGGTAGTAGACGTCTAAAAGTTGAATATATAGTTTTTACAGACAGTGTCTACCCAAAATTATGAAATGATTTCAAAAAAATACAGAAAAAAAACTATTTTTGGTTTTATTTTGTATCTTTTTATGGGCTCTGGTCATGTGGAAGCGCGGTTACCCTCCCCTATATCCAACTCTGGTATTGAATGTAGTTAAACCTATTTTATTTAAATACTCAAAAAGCAGAAAGTTCGCAACTAGATCTAAATTAAATCGTAATCTACTGTGGGTAAAGTGAGATTGTATGCCTTAGTCAATGTCTTTCTAAATCACCGCACTATTTCTCCGTATACCTTTCTTCCTGCCTTTAAAATACAGTAGTAACTGGGCGACCGAGTTTTGCTCGATGCTTTCGCAAATAAAATAAAATTGCGGTTTTTTTTTCAGGAAACACAAAGTTTATCTAACTTAAAGCAAAACCTAATACAAAATTCAATCCAAATCGTTAGAGCTGTTTCCGAGTTACACGAATTGAGATTATGTATTGTTGGTATATTATACAGAAATTGTTCCTCTGTCAGGGAAAGTATTTATATTACATTGCTGAAACTAATAGTTCTATGACTTAAAGTCTTGCAAGAGTGGTGAATTCAAACCGTATCTATTTTTTCGCTGCGAGATAAATAGGGGTTTGTAGAACTTGCTGCGGATTTTGCTTTTTGTATATTTTTTGCGATTGTAGTTACCGGAATAATCGATATATTTAGTCGGTCTTATTTCACCGAATGAAACAATGTACATTTATTTGTTCTATGACCTCTTGAATTTAATAGTTATGTATTAATTATTATAATACTTTCGTAGATTTACGCGAATGTTTGACATTTTAAATAAAACTAAATATAAATTATGTAAAAATGATGTTGTTTGACTAAATATAAAATTTTTGTATTAATCCTATTACCTAATGAACTCATATTTGATGTTTCTATACCTATAACATTTTTATTTCTGTTTTGTATCAAGTTGTTCGCGATGTAAATAATATTCAACTACCTACTTGTAATTTTTTCTCATTAAGTGAATGTTATTCTTTAGAGAAATAAATAAAGCATCTTTAAACCGAACTATCTTTTCAGATTTTTTACTTTTTTTATTTTGATTTGTGTTTGGGAACCAAATATCACAATAAATCCGCGAAATAATCCGAAAAAATAGTTTTATACATTAGTTACTATACCTTAAACAAACTTAGGATTTTCAAAGTGGCACAAACTGCTTGACACATCGGTAGTTTCACCCGTTGCTAAGTTAAACATAAACAAACGTAATGTCGCATTTTTATATATTGGTCAATTTAATCGTCGATAGAATGATGTATTATTACTAAAACTTAATCAAATATTTAAATAAAATATCGATTTGAAAAAAATCTGAGTGCGTAAAAAGCTTTAATTTTAAGGATACAAATTATACTATCCTTATATAATCTGTTAAGGAAGCCATTTTTATAGGATTTATAGACGTACCTTTTACGTGCACTACCTTACCAGAGGGATTAAAACATTACGACCGAATGAAATGGATTTCTTCTGTTCTTCCTACGACTATCTACAGATATGTACATATTTTATAACGCCCACTGCGTACTGCATTTCTTCATCAATTTAGATATTCTACTATCTATTTTAAGCTATCGACTCAGCTTCGCTCTGCTCGGGTTCGTGCAGGTCTTTAACAGTTAGTATTTCATATAGATTTTTCAGAGATGAAATATTTTCCCGCAGTAAAAAGTATCCTATATGTTGACCCGGATAACCAGGTATCATCATACCAAATTTCCTTAAAAATCCGTCCAGTAGTTTTCTCGTGATGAGTTCCCAGACAGACAGATAGACAGACAAAAACTCTAAAAACTCTAGAGTCAGCCTCTGTATCGATAACAACTATTTCAATAAGATTTTCCAAAAAAAAATATAAAATGTATAGAATCGTTTCAGAATTTCATTATATTTATAGAATAGATGCCAACATTCGTCTTATAATATGAAATGGAACTTCAAAATACTCCGTATCATAAATATTTTAGGTATAATATTAATAATAGACTATGCAGCATAAGGAATGCAGTGTAGTGTAATTTGGGACACCGAGTGAAGCGGGTTCAAATCCCGGATCTCACACCTCTGATATTTTCATGTGCGAATTATCATTTCTAAAAAGATTACGACTTGTTTTACGGTGAAGGAAAACATCATGAGGAAACCTGCATGTCTGAGAAAACTTAGTAAGTTTTCGAAAGACGTGTGAAGTCCACCACCCGGCACTAGGCAAGCGCGGTAGGCTATACCCCTCGTATTGAAGGGAGGCCCGTACCCAGCGGTAGGATGTTAAATTAGCTGCATACTCTATGTCGAAAACGGCAGAGTCAGTTACCAAATGAGTTTTGTCTATACAGCTTTAAGCTATGAAGACAGTACATAAATAGGCCTAAGTATAAATGAGACGTAATTAAAAAATAATATATTTTCATCAATAGAAATTGGAGCAAAGCTTATATTGTCACATACAAAAAAATTGTACCATTATATATTTTTACTTCAGTAATTACACCGTTGTGGGCGAAACTATGTTTGCTATTCATATTACAATTATTATGTCATGTGTAAAATTGTCGATCTGTTTGCATTATCTTTATTCAAATACGCGTAAAAAATTTTTATGAAACTAGGTTCACTAAATTAATGTATTTTTATCTGGCTTTTGTACTTTTAATATTTTTAATCGATATGATATATTAGAAGTTGGCTATTTTAACTTCGATTCAAAAAAAACTCTCTCGAAAAAAACTCTCTTACATTATTCTAGGGCTAACTGAAAACTATATGTATTCAGCCCTTTTTTTAACGCCCCACTGCTGGATACGGGCCTCCCTTCAGTACAAGAGGGATCAGGCCATAGTCCACAACGCTGGCCGAGTGCGGGTTGGCGGACTTCACATATCTTTTGAAAACTTCCTAGGTTCTCTCAGACATGCAGGTTTCCTCACGATGTTTTTCTACACCATTTAGACGAGTGGTAATCATGTTGGAAATAATTCGCACATGGAAACATCAGAGGAGCGAGACCCGGGATTTGAACTCGCTTCACTCGATTTCTCAAGCGAGCACGTTACCACTGGTCTACCACAGCCTTATATAAATAGGTAAATAAAACGAAAACTATATAAATATAGGTAAAGACAAAGTAGCTTTTCCTCCTTGTTAGTCAACTAATTTTGTTTTTTCAGTAGTTAGCTATTAACGAACTTTTGTGCTATCATAAAAAAAAATTTATGATTAAATTTCGATCACTGGGCGAATAGTAGTGCTTATAAAACTATTATTCCTGTATTTGATAAAAGCAGTATAGGGTTATATATATATATATATATATATATATTAGATATATATATATATATATATATATATATATATATATATATATATATATATATATATATATATATATATATATATTGTATTCAGCCCTTTTTTTGAATGTCGCACTGCAGGGCCCGAATGCTTATAATACTTTTATTATAATAGCACTAATGAGACTTTTAAAACAGAACACAGCATAACTTTTCCACTGTAGATTCTACTTTTAAGATTAACTTATTGTAGTGGTTACACTGGTCAGAGTAGTATGATAGGGACTTACAAATTCCCTTAGAACTTCCTCAAATCAAATGAAAAATGACTGATGATGACCAGACCATATTGTGTAAAAAAATTATTTTTATGTTAAGTTTTATGGGATATTCTCTCTTTCTCTTAACACTAACCATAACTTACAAGATAAACTACCGTATGGAGAAAAACAAAATTTTGATTTAAAATTGAGCCACATTTAGATATAAAAGTGGATGCGCAAGATTTATTTTATTCGTATACCGACAGAATTTTAGTGTAACTTCTATTTTTGTTTCAAAGTAAATATAAAACCTAATATAAACTATATTTTTGATAAACATCGAAGTTTATTAAACAGTATGGCTGTGAAAATAGAAAAGCGCTATCTATGAAGGGAATAAAATCCACATATTCGCTAATTTTGCTGTGAATAATTACGAAAATGTAATATAATATTTAATTTATTGTAATACAAGGAACCCTCGTTTCCTTTAACCACCGTTTCGGTATCTAGAGCATCCGACCGAGTAAAACAATAAATAACAAGTGTTACTTCAGATCACAATATTCCGTATACTGAATTCATTCAAATCTATCCAGCCTTAGAGCGAAGAAATAAAAAACATAATATGTATGTTACATACACACTTTCGTATTTATTGAAGTGAAACTTCTTTAAAATCGTTGTGATTTGAAACTTGATGATACTGAAATGCGACACTTAAAAGAGATTAAGCTGGCGAGAGAATGAGATGGAATACATTGCCATGTTGACATGATAACTAATAATATTACTTACAAAAACAAACACTAAACATTTTCATATAAACTTTCATCCCCTATTTTACCCCCTCATGGGATGAATTTCGAAAAATGCTAAAACACGTATTTCTTTAATTGTATTGAAAAGCATTAATACCAAATTTCAAGTAATTCTGATCATACATATTTTTTGGGTTCTATTATAAGCTGCTTTTCCATGGGAATGTCATGATCTCTCGCAATAAAAAGTAGCCTATGTCACTCTCCAGCTCTCCAACTATCTTCACATCAAAAATCACGCCAACCTGTCACTCCGTTTCGACGTGACAGAAAGACAGACAAACAAACAATCAAACAAACAAACAAACACACTTTCAAATTTATAATATAAGTATGGATATACATTCTTTCCGTATACGATATTCTATAAATATATGATTCCAATATGCTAGTATGCCTTATTTAATTATTGATTTGTTTGAATTTAATTGCGATATTCGCCAAAGAAGTTTCACTTCTACCGTGAGTGAATTTCGTACATAACTTTTAAATTTTTATTAGTAATCCGATTTAAGTACCTAATTAAACATTGTTTTTCCAGCGGTGTCAGTATCAGTCGATGTATGGACTTTAGTCGCCATATCTCTTGAGAGGTATTTCGCAATATGCAGACCACTGAAGTCAAGAAAGTGGCAGACACAGTGCCACGCGTACAAGATGATAGCGACCGTGTGGATCCTGTCCTTAGTACTGAACTCACCTATACTCCTCGTTTCAACATTACAACCAATGAAGGGTGATGGTAAGTTTGTTCATTTTTCTACTTTTTGCCTAAATATCGAAGGAGTATATGTATATTATGAGTGTATTTGTAATTATATATGTAAATGTGACGACACAGTTGAATCAATTTGTAGTGATCCTACTTGCTGTGCCATCGGTCGCGGGTTCAAGTCCCGCTGGGGGCATTTATTGTTTGTACCTACTTCAGTCATAGGTGTTTGTATTTATAATATGTATATATGTATTTAAAGTTATATAAGTGTAGTGTATCAACTATCTGGTATCCATAACACAAGCCTCGTAGCTTACCGTGGAACTAGACGGTGCTGTGTGTTAATGTACCCAACATATTTATTTATATGTATGTACATATGTCTATTTCTTTGGCACAGCTTCCAGCCTTAGTAAGACTAGACGATTTTAACATATTCGTTCCATTTATATTCATTGTAGAAGCTATATTCTAAAACTATTTACATTATAAAACTTTTTTACGTTTTTACATGAACAGTGTTTCGCCAGACACTTTAGGGCTACGCGATCAAACGAGCCTAAAGTCGATGCAGCTTTTTATTATATACGTCGTCGTCGCCTTGTGTGAGACCGGGGTAGAGTTTGATTTATTTTTGATTTATTGGTTATGTATATGTGTGTATTATTTAACAAGCCGCTACAAAATAAGGCGAATTATTTTTTATTGAATTTTCTTCTTATAATTTATGGTTCTAAAGACTAATGATCTTTTCTCTAAACGTAAGAGGACTGTAAGAGTCACATTTTAGTGCCACAAATTTAGATTTTAGACACTCAATTTCTATACCAGAATGATATAACTTACACGTGCATGAAATTATTTGAATACTGTATCAAGTTTGACTTGAAATGTATTCAAGGACTTAGCGGTAAATTAGAAGTAATCTAGTTTTACTTTACTGCCGAAACTTTATACTGATTCACAAAGTTGTAATTAATAATACCGAATATTAACAGATTACGTACATTATTGGTGGATAAATTTCTTCAAGCACTTATGTTGGTTCAAAATTTTGATTTTAAAGAAGGGTTTCAGATTTTCATATTTAAATATTATACTTTATTACACCTGCAAAGAATATTATTTACAAATGTTCAATAACCTTTTAAAATGAGCCATTATCATGATTATTTGATTTCCTCAATATATTAGGAAATTGTAACAAGAAAAATCACGTTTGAATTAAAATTGGATGGATCTAATTAGTCTGTAGGTTGTATGGTTACAGATCACGAAGAGGTTGGTTAAAAGTTTTTGTAACGGTTAAAGTCTCTCTTTGAAAATAACGTAACGCTCTCTGCTTTATGATCTCTCACTGTTTATCTTAGATTGCTATAATATACGTCGATATCTGCTGACATATTTGCTATGAAGTTAAGAACTAAAACATCACTTACTATACTTGTTACCGTACCGTAACACATTGTACCGTACCGTATCGCATTGTACTGTACCTTACCATAGCTATGTGTACAAAATTCCAAAAATTTAATTCTATTAGGCCATTTTTCGTATAATATTAACAATACAAACACGTAGAGGTGCACGTACATTCACCCTATAAATTCTCTAGCGTAGGTGGTTTCTGAGAAATTGGCCAACATTTCTGAAAATCGGTTAAAGGGACAATAAAACTTTTCCATTATTGGGTTGAAATAAAGAGTTTTACACCATTTTCCACTTTCTGCAATTATTGTTTGAGTTACATATGGGGTAAAAGTGTGAATATAACTAATACAAACAATTAATATTTTTTAGATAGATAATTTTTGATAAAATTATTTTTTCGGATTTGTCGTGGATCTGAAACATCGGGAACTAACCATCAAAATAAATCTGCAAAAAAACCCGAAAAGACAGATTTTATTTAAAATATAAAATATTCGCGTTAATACTAGTAAGTGAAACATATCATGAACCAATGTAAGCTTGCGTCTATTTTCATAGGACAAAATATTTATTTTTGCTTTCGTTAACAAATAAACCATTTTTGAAGTATAATGTGTCGTATCATTTTGATGTGGATAGTACTAAGGTGTTTACACTGACCGCGCATTAAGAATTATACATTAGTATAACAATGCGCCATGACAGCATTTCATTGAACTAAATTTACATAAAATAGCCCTTTTCTCCGTGCCGTTCAGTCCTTTTTTTAACGTCCCATTGCTGGGCACGTGCCTCCCTTCAACAAGAGGGAGATCAGACCATAATCCACCACGCTAGCCAAGTGCGGGTTTGCGGACTTCACATGTCTTTCGAAAACTTGCTATGTTCTGTTACACGTGCAGGTTTCCTCACGATGTTTTCTTTCAATGTAAGACAAGGCGTAATCATGTTCACATAAAAATATAAAAGGTTCGCGACCCGAGATATGAACCAGCTTCACTCGGTTTCTCAAGCGAGCGCGTCACCACTAGGCTACCACTGCCTTAAAGCAAATTATACTAATTTACTTCAATTGGTCCTTTTACAACAAAACTAATGACTTTCAGTACATTTGGGTAAGCCTCTGAGTTTCTAACAGTAGCCTACACATATGTTACTCCGGGTCATAATCTATCTACATATATACTACATTTCATCTAAATCGGTTTAAACCTCTCAGCGTAAAGGAGTAATAAAAGTACACACGATTGATTTCTGGGATAAAAAGTATCCTATGTCCTACCCAGGGTCTCAATCTATCTTCTTACTAAATATCATGTAAATCGGTTCAGTAGATCCAGAGATTACCCCATACAACGTCACAATCTCACAAACTTTATCTCTTTGTAATATTAATAGGTATAGATAATAAATAAGAGGTTACACAATTTTATTTTTCCATTTTAGTATTAACTTAGTAATAGCGTAAAAAAAGCGTAGCCAATTCAGTTAATTGATACTGATTTTTATATGAAGACTAACATACTAAAAATCTCAAAAACTCGTTTTTAGTAACATTAAATACTAAGAAAACATGATCTAAAAATTCAAGTCTAACATATTAAGCTTGTCAAATCAAACTCATCATCAGATCAGATCGATGATACCAAATTACTGTAATTTCATCGGAAATACAAAAACTTGCTAAGTTTCTACATAATATGATAATTAAAAGTGGGTAAAAAAGACTAATCAGATCTGTTTACGTCTGTTGCATAGTCATCATAATTTTTCCATCTTCTAATTTAAAATATCTGAATTTATTGTAATGAATTAAAATAAATGAATTTAAGTGCAATAATAATGTGTTAAATAATAATTATTCATTAATTTGATTTATATACATAAATACGATGGCAACATTCTTTTTTTTTATTATTAAAAATGTATGTGACACAACTGTCACAATGGTCTGGTGTAGATTTAAATTATTTAAATACATTAATAAACAAATGAAATAATTGGGTATTTCATTTAAAGTGCTATTCTAATGCGTAGTACTTATACACATTTTTCTAATTTCCTCGAAAACCGTATATCGTTCGTTCAAAATTTTCTTTAACATAGAGTAAAATCTATGTCGAAACAAAAATCTTAATTGTGTACAATTTAAAGTAGCAAAATCGGTCAAGTTGTCTTAGAGAATTTTGTAAACATACATAAAAAATAGTACATAGACGAATATAGAACCTCATCGTTTTTGGATGTCAGTCGAAAAATAAATAAAAATCAGAAACTTATAACATGTTAAGGAGCTTTCATTTCAGAGTGAGGATCGTAAAAGCTAAAGGCAATACTCGAAGTGCATCATAAAAGAAAATGTAATTTTTAAAATTTACGTCAAGAAACCGTAAAGAAGACTTATTTGGACGTGATATCAAAAAATATTACAATTTTGGCTGGATAATAATTACAACATACGTATTCCAGCTACAATTTAATATTTTCTATGTAGCTTATCCATAAACTTTAAGTTTTAATTTTATTTGTATACTAGCATTGCCCGCGGCTCCGCCCGTGTTAAGATGACCAAAAACCAAATTCTTAGGTTTTATATAATTAGTATACTCTTACATTGCAGTTTTTGTATTTTTTCTCAGAAATGAGATATTTTTCCGCGGTAAAAAGTATCTTATATGTTGACCCGGATAACTGACTATCATCATATTAAATTTCATCAAAATCCCTCAAGCGGTTTTTCTGTGATGCGGTAACAGACAGACAAAAACTCTAAAAAGCATAGATTCGGCCTCTATATCGATATAAAATGTTTATTTCAATAAGATTTTCCAATAAATATCTAATGTACAGATTCGGCTTAGTTACAATTTTATTATATGTATAGATATGTATGGATTTTGAGAAATTTCGTGATGATTTAAATAAACAAATAATGGTAGAACTCCATTCTCCATACATGCAACTGAGGAGTGAATATATAATTTAAAACTAAAGAAGCAGAGTAGAGAGACAGAGAGAGAGTATCTCTGGATAGGTCTTTAAATGAGATAGATGTGTCTAAGTAACTTTATTCAGTAATCAAACTGATAGTTGTTGATATATGAGCTTTTAAAGTCGTAAACATCAGTGTGAGTCATAGCCGTGTGTCATAATATACGAGTAAATATGTGATGTATCCAGCAAATACATCTCATATATATCACGTAGCCACTCTCCTCCCTTCCAGTTTGAAAAAAAACCTCTTCATCCATCTGTCACATACTTATATTACACTATCTCAGTGTAATTTTTTTTTTCATCATCTGTGTTTTTAATGATTTAATATCAAAAGTAAGTATTAAAATTGTAAAAAAGCAAAGAAAACAATTACATTCCAAATATTGTTTGTATACGAGCTTCATAAAACAAAACAACTATTTTTTTCCGGCAGAAAATTACAAGATCTCTTTTAACACCTCCAGGTAAATTTCAAAGAAATTAATTAAAATTCTAAGAAATCTATTGTTAACTGACACGCCGGCGTGTCCGCGGTCGTGGAGGGATTAAACATAAGATTATTTTGTGAAACCAATTTTGTGAAGATATTACACGCTGAA